TATATATATAATACCTATATATTTATAATTACGTAATGCAGCGAATTCCAATTAAACTATCGTTAGTTAATCAACGATAATTTATACGTGAAGTAATTTTACAAACATGGAAAATAAGAAATAAAAAAAAAATCAAAACTTTAATTGTGGAAAGTTACATAATACAATTATAAAGTACATATTTCAGATCACTCACAAAGTCCAATTAATCAAAATCTTTTTTTAGTGTGATGTCAAATCATGAGACATCGAGTGGCTTGCCGCTCGGTGCGATTGACTCCTAATTATCTATAGATCTAGATAGATTTAATCTGCGTCTGCGATTTTTCGCATTTAAAGAACCGAAAATAACTCCATTTAATAATTAAGAGATCTTTGATCATCGCATCATTCGGATCCGGTGTTAAATTGTAGGTTCTATAGATCAGTAAATATATGTATGGAGTCCCCAGGCTAGAGATTGGAGTAAGCTAACTAATTCCGGAAAATAATCCATTATTACAAAAACCTCATAAGCAATAAGCCCTATCTGTCGTCTGAAACGTCATTGACATCTCAAGCGGGACTAATATCAAATCGTGTTATAAGTTCCTTTACTTTTCTACCAACACCGGCAATATATCCCAAGGATGCCGATATACCTAAAAAAATACTTTTTATTTCGCATATTTGATGAAACGGAGGGATTTCCCAGTTTGATGATTTTTAGGCTTTTCATAATATGCTCGGTTGACTGTTTAGTCATATGCATGACTAAAAACAACATATACAATTGATAATTCTTGAGACTTCCACGGGTGCTTTCTATATAAAGATTTGCGTTTCGCGGGATCCATTCTTAGAATGCCAACGTTTCGTGAACCTTGAAGTCTACTTCATCAGGGCGAGAAAAAACCTGATACTGAGAGTATCTGGACACGGAGGAAACCTGCGAAACGCAAAATCTTTAACATATACAATTATAGTATATCTGTACATCATTATGATGATTCGCATGTGCTGATGATTGTGCTCGGTCTGGAAATGACTGATTCTTCGGTCATTTTGAATGGAATGATTCCTCAATCATTTTGAAATGGAATAAAAAATACTAAAATATGTGACGCATACTTACATGCGCACATACAAGTACATTTATTACAACATCCAATGTAAGCAATAGGATGCGTTTTATATTTTTAACTGTATATTTTTATATTGTATGTTTTATTCATTGAGAAGGATCACATTAAAGGTCGAAACGTGGCATTTGAAATTTTGTATTCCATTAATGTAACAATTTAATAGAAATATACACGGCACTCGAATACCAGTCGGGCTCGAATAGCTCATATTTAACTTATAAAAATCTTTTTCTTCTTTTCTCTCCTTTTGTACTTGTTTCTTATAAATTAATTTCTAAACTGTGTTGAAACGTAATTATTCTCTATATATACAGGGCATAAAATGTCATATCATTTGCTTTATACATATATTGTATAATATTTATTTTTAATAAAATTGATACAGAAATAGTATAGAATTAATTATCAAAACCTGGAAATTGGATAATTAAATGGTATGACATTTCGCCATCCTGTTCATGAAAACTAATTATATCTGCAACGAAAATCGTACTGTTTCCGTCTGCAAGTCAACATTTTTATATAACAAGAGAATTGTAGCAATTTAATTTTCCAAAAGTTGGGCAACTATTGTAAATCCCATGAAATCTCCTGAGATTTGTATTTTTGTTCCTCTTCTCCTCTCGAAAGAAGAACTGCCTTTATTTCCATTAAAATGTGAATGTTCGCCAACAGAAGCTATTGCTACTGCATAAGCCCTTACGTGTATAAGTCTGCCATTCGGTAGTGTGTTTTAGTCCCTGCCAGGACTGTGCACTTTATTGATTCTAGGCTGACCTCCGATTCGCATGGCGAAGCACAGGCTCGAGTAAACGTACACCGTCTAGGTAGGGAGAAAGCTTTCACCGTTGTCGACGATCAGACTTTTTTTT